AGAGAGAGAGAGAGAGAGAAAGAGAGAGAGAGAAAGAGAGAGAGAGAGAGAGAGAGAGAGGAAAGAGGCATAAAATAATTCATTTGCATTTAATTGTAATGGTTCAAAGAATGTTCGGAAAAATGTTCGGCCCTCCAGCACGTTCACTTCATCCAATCTGGCCCTCTTTGAAAAAAGTTTGGACACCCCTGCATTAGATACATACCTTACTTGAGCATCTTTATCTACAAATATAATTTGTAAATCTGATTATCTGTTATCTTCATAATAGTAAATTCCTTTGAATGAAATTAAAAAATTACAAATAGCAGAATTCAAGTTGCTTCAGAATTTCATGTATCCCTTTTTAAAATACATTCTAGTAATTCGCTCAAATGATAAAATGTGAATATATTATTTTTTTAGAATATTCTATTCTATAACAGAATTTGTATCTTTTCCAAAATAAAGTATAAGAGAAATACACACCCATATCCACAATTCTTTGATAGCTGATATTTTAATTTTGTTTATTAGAAGAGTTAAAGAGTTTAGCCTGAAAGGTCTTTTAGTACAGGTTTCTGTGTATAGTGGTTGTTTACCAGATGCCCTTTGGAAGCTTGTAATTAGGACATGAAGAACAATGGCCATCATTTGCTAGTATTCAGAGCTATATTGCCTCTGAAGATGGGCATGCCATTTTTGTGGCTAACTGGAACTGAGATGTTTTATTTTCCATGTATTTTTAAATAACAGATCAAGTGACTATGACAACATCTTGCAGGGTAAGTTACAATTATTTGAAATTACACCAAGTTTTGTTTGAACTCACCTGTTATTTATTGTACAAATTGGCTGTCATATATATATGTTTGTGTATTTCTTATGAATATGTGAAAATTATATTTTATAATTAAAGTGTAGAGACTTTAAAATGATTAATGTTTCCAAATCTAAAGCATTCCTATTGAATTTCAGCTTGCTTTGATATCCCAGAGAATTGACAGAAAATGCAAAACAGTGAAGTAATAAAGCCTGCCAAGTACTTCTCTGAAGTGGAGAAGAGTGTGCTGCTGGCATTGGTTGAAAAATATAAGTATGTACTTGAATGTAAAAAGAGTGATGCAAGGACTATTGCACTGAAACAACGGACCTGGCAGGCCCTAGCTCATGAATATAATTCCCAACCAAATGTATCACTCCGAGATTTCAAGCAGTTGAAGAAATGCTGGGAGAACATCAAAGCTAGGACAAAGAAAATAATGGCACATGAAAGACGAGATAAGGTAAAAAGATGCATTAGTCCACTTATAAGTAATCACATCCTAGGAAAAGAGAAGATCACCAACATGATACCAGAGCAAGTATATTTTTTACAGACTCCACCAGAAGAAGATTCTGAATATCAGCCTGAAACTTCCAATCAAGGTACAGTCATAACCTAGTGACCTATTATTTTTTTTCTTTTTCAAAAGTAGATAGGATATTTGCATTTATCCACTAGTATCTGTATAATGACATCAGTTTTAAAGTGTAAGCAAATCACATGTACAATTCACTATATAATTGAGATATAGCTCACTGTTCATCGCTGCAATAACAGCAAGATCAGTCCTGAATTGTGTCTTAGCTATAGCACCACCACCATGTTTTAGGAGAGAGAAAAAAACTTTGACAGTGGAATCTTTCCTGAATATAGGAATAGGGATTCTGAAAAATGCAGGGGACAGTGCAACCTATGCATTATTATGGCTGGTGTCATAGCATACACATGGGTGAGACCAGGATTCACTAAGCTTTCCTCATGGAAAGGGGGATTTGGGATTTCTATTTGTATTTTAACTATATTAAGCTTTTTTTAGGGTTTATACTACATTTCTGGCAAGTCTTTAGGAGCTGGGTAGGATAGCCCCTTTAATTTCTTCATAAGTTTTAATTTTTTTGTTGCTGCTGTTGCTGCTGTTGCTGCTGCTTGCAGAAGGAGGCCACAAGCAACAGCAATGGCATGAAGCACCTTGCGGCCTCTTGCTGCCAACAGGGGAAATGGCATGAAGCACCATGTGGCCTCCTGCCACAAGCAGTGGAAACTGCCCAAAGCTCTGCACAGCTTCTTGCCTCGAGTGGCGGCAATGGCATGAAGCACCATGTGGCCTCCTACTGTGAGCAGTGGAAATAGTCCAAAGCACCGCAGGGCTTCTTGCTCCGATCGGCGGCAACAGCGTGAAGCACCATGTGGCCTTCTGCCGCAAGCAGTGGCAATGGCTTGAAGTGCTATGGGGCCTCCTGCCACAAATGGCACCGCTGTGACAAGCCATATGGAGCGACAAGTGTCAGGGCATGGGAGGCCTGGCTGCTGTGATGCAGGGCGTGTGGGGCAGCTCCACCCCGCCATAGCTTGATTTTTAGGCGTATGCCTCATCCCCAAACTAGGGCTTATTTAGGGGGTAGGGCTTATATTAGGCCCACCCTCTAAAATCAAGTTAGGGCTTACTTTTGGAGTAGGTCTTACTTTCGGGGAAACACGGTAATAAACTTCAATACAAAGTGTACTATTTTAAATATGACTATGTATAAATTTGTATGGTTGTTTTATTAAGAAGTTATTGAAAACATACTACAATTGGACAATTAAAAGTAAAACAGTTTTTTTTCAATAATATAGCTTTGAAAATTACATCGATCACCTAATGTGAATGCATATTATAAATAATTGAAATATGTTTAATGTTTAATTATCTGAAGTGTTACATCTTTGAATGGGTAGTTTTTCTCCTTGTCATAAATAGAAAAAGGAACTTACTTATAGTTCTACAAACAAAGAGAAGCTATGACAAATTTCTTGTACCTTCCTCTTGCAGTCCATTGAGTTCAAAGTACCTACGATGGATAATATTAGAAAACTGACAATTTCCTGAATCCGGACATAAGCTTAAATTTCTGGATTTTTCCTTTTTCAGTAAACTACATGAATTTCAGCCTTATTCCCAAGCTCGGAACTGAAATAAAGTAGGAAATATTTACGCAATGTACCAGAAGTGAAACATTCTCCAGCATGATCGATGGAGAATCCACACAGATGGGTTTGATCCTTGTCTTCCTGCCCAGAAACTAAGTCATTCAACCTTTGCCACGTCTCTTCCTCTGGACTAAGGACCCAGTCTCGACTTAGTCTTCGGCCCAATGAGATGTGGTAAGATTGGCTCAGACTTTAGGCAGAGACAGATCAGGTATTGTTTCTCTGTTGTTTATTTCCCATCTATGGTGGATTTTTTCTCCAGTTGCTATGCTTCATAGCGCAGGTTGAATCGTCGGGTTTTCAGGGGATTTGAGGCTTCAATTGAAGCCTTGTATACAGCCTTTGTAGGATGGCCGTTTCGGCGTGAGCAAGCAGACGCCATGTGGAGGCTCGCTGGTTTTCCCTTTGATTGTTTCCCCTTGCTCGGTTTCCTTCTTGTGTCGATCGGTTTGAAAGCACGTTGCTTGAATGCTTGATTCTGGCCGCCTTTCCTCTGGGCGTAGGCTGAAGCCCCAGCTACTTTCATTTTCGCCCATGGGCGTGCTGCAGAAACAGGCAGCATTTAAGTTGTTGTTTTTCCCTTTCAAGTCTGATTGCTTATTCAGGGGTGAAGGCCAGCATTGTTCCCAGAACTGTGTTTGTGTCTGGTTACCAGATAAAGGCAGCAACGTCACCATTCTGGGCACCGCACGGGTGTGCTGCAGAAACAGGCAGCATTTAAGTTGTTGTTTTTCCCTTTTCAAGTCTGATTGCTTATTCAGGGGCGAAAGCCAGCATTGTTCCCGGAACTGTGTTTGTGTCTGGTTACCAGGCAAAGGCAGCAACAGAATTTAAATCTGGCTACACTATATACTGAGGCCCTAGATCTCAACGAGGCCGAGTGACGGCCATTCTTTTGGAGGCCACGCATCACAACCAGCAATCAGGCCTTGCATATTTACATCTAAAAGGGACTAATTATTGCATCAAGTACGGATTCAGTATAACTGCCGCCTGGTTCAATTCAATCTATATGTTAATTTCTATTCAGCCTCTGGGCGTTCAGGCCTGCAAGCAGAGGTAGCAGAGGCAAAGCCGCCACTTTGGAAGCAGGGTCTCACAACCATTCTGAAGGTGAATGTGTGTTAGCTATTACCCGCCATTAAGTGAAGCACATGCGACCTGACTGTTACCATTGAGTTGGTCTTACCGTCACTAAGTGAACTACATGTGCATTGGATCTTACCATTGAGTTGGTTTTGCCATCACTAAGTGAACTACATGTGACTTGACTGTTACCATTGAGTTGGTCTTGCCGTCACTAAGTGAAACATGTGCATTGGATCTTACCATTGAGTTGGTTTTACCGTCACTAAGTGAACTATATATGACTTGACTGTTACCATTGAGTTGGTCTTGCCATCACTAAGTGAAACATATGTGCATTGGATCTTACCATTGAGTTGGTTTTTGCTGTCGCTAAGTGAACTTCCTGTGACTTGACTGTTACCATTGAGTTGGTCTTGCTATCACTAAGTGAAACACATGTAAGTTTCACTGTTACCATTGAGTTGGTCTTGCCGTCACTAAGTGAAACACATGTAAGTTTGGCTGTAACCATTGAGTTGGTCTTGCCGTCACTAAGTGAGACACACGCAGGTAAGTTTGGCTGTTACCATTGAGTTGGTCTTGCCGTCACTAAGTGAGACACACGTCACAAAGTGAACTATTTGTGAACGGGCTGTTACCATTCAGTCGGTCTTGCCACCACAGTTGAATTGACCATCTATGGTGGATTTTTTTGACCAGAGCACTGGACGTGCTCTTACTGGTCCTACTGCCATCAGGAGCATTGCATGGGTGAGGGCAGTACCATTAATCTGGTTCTGCAGTCACGTTGGAACCTTGAGTACACTGTTTCTTACATTGAGTGGCCCTTCCACTATCAGTACTCTGCTCTTTACCATTGAGATCCCTCTCAGCGATGGCAGACAACTTGGCATCTCAGACTTCAGAGGATGCCTCTCTGCACTTCCACGAAAAGGGAAGTCCAAGTTCTCCAAACAGGAGGCGGCCGGTAAACTTAAGACGAAGGCTATTTCTGTCGAGAAATCTTCTAGGGTGGCTGAAAAGGAGGCCAGCAGGAGGCTCCAGGCCTTAGAGAAACATTTCTCCGAGGCACAAAGTGACAGAGCATAGCTGCGTCTGGGCTAAAGACCTCCTCCCTTTTACAACCTTTTGCTATTAAGGTGAGCTTGCCGCCTCTAAAGCAGGGCTTTTCAACCAGTGGTACGGGTACCACCTGTGGTACATTGGCACCTGGCAGGTGGTACGCGACCATCCTAGAAAAGTGGTAGCGGGGGAGGGGAATGAGTTGAACTGGTGGCAGCACCGCACAAGCCTGAGCGAGAGATGGCTGGAGCTGCAGGGCTGTCAGGGCTCAGCAGAAGCACCAGGATCAGTGTCGCTTTCCAGCTGATCGGCATTTCGGGGCTGTCAGGGCTCAGTGGAAGCACCAGGATCAGCGCCAGGCTCCGGCTGGAGCTCGGCGCTGATCCTGGCGCTTCTGCTGAGCCCTGAAGAAGCACCAATCAGCTGGAATATTGCAGCATCTCCAGGGTCTTTTGATTTACATTCAGATGCTTGGCAATTGATTCATATTTATGACGGTCACAGTGTCCCAGTGTGAAGTGAAGTGACCAAAACCTGCTGCAACCACCCAGCAGATGGGGGAAATAAAAACCAAACACCCCCACTCCACCCCCGCTGCCAATCCTCAACAGAAATGCTGACAACAATGAAAACCTCGGACAGGAGGAAGAGCACCAGGCAGGCAGGCAGGTGTCTTGTGCGGCTGTGGCTTTGGGGGTCATTTTTTTCAGTGCCATTGTAACTTCAAACAGTCACTAAGTGAACTGTTGTAAGTCGAGGACTACCTGTACTTTATCACTTTTTTCCTCTTTTTTGGGGGGGGTCATCAAATTTTTGACACCTTGCTAGGCGACTGGTGGATGTTGCCATATCCTAAAAGTGGTACAATGGGTGAAAATGTTGAAAAGCCCTGCTCTAAAGGAACCAATTGTGCTGGCCATAACCATTAATTTGGCTTACCACCAATTAAGTGGATTATACATGTGTTGGCCGATACCATTAGGTTGGTGTTGCTGCTCACTGAGTGGATCACATGTGGACTGGCCGTGGCCATTGAATTGGCCTTACAACCACTACTAGACTTCTGTGTACTGGCTATTTCCTCTTACTGTTGAGATCCGTCTCAGCTCACCACTGAGATATAGCTTATTTGCAATCGGGAAGCTCAAAGCCTAACTATCTCGGGCAAGAAGAGGCCCTCTGCGGCTGTTGGGAAGGAAGCCAGCAGGAGACATCAGGCTTTAGTGCAACAATTCTCCATGGCCCCTTCCAGCGAAGGACC